TATATATATATATATATATATGTGTGTGTGTAGGTGTAGTTCCATTTGCCTTCCCACTCCTGTTCTACGTATGTATCTACTCATAGGTTATTGTTACTGTTATTGTAGGATTATGCTTGTCATAATATTTACCTTTGTTGCCTTTAACTCTTGTGCTCCTCCCAGTGTCTCCCTCTGTCTTGATCATCCTTTTGTGCTGTGATGCTGTGATTGCTTTTCTAATATTTTAAAGGTAATGATAATCAAATTCCTTATTTACTTTTTCTACAATGGTCAGGATATTACACTTACTCCTCAATATACTCTACAGATTAGCTAGTGTTCTCAGACAGTTAAGTTTAATAATTAGCAAATATCAACTCTAAGCAGTATTTCTGTCTTAAAATTTATCTACTTCAAATTGCAGCTTAGCAGATCCGTGTACACCACATGATGACAAACTTTGGGTGTTGGTTCTAGAACTTAAAAATTTTAAATTATAAAAGTAAAAAAATAATATTCAAGCTTTGATCAACTACTTTTTCTCTAAATTAGGTCAGTCCACTTATTCTGAACATACACTGCCATATGGCCGCCACTAACCATATTGAGCACTTAAAATGTAGGTAGTTCAAATATGACAAATACAGAGATAGACTGTATGTGTAAAATTCCTAACAGATTTGGAAGACTTAGTACAAAAGTAATGTAAAATATATCTGTTATTTTATATCGATTGGATGTTTAAGTTATAATATTTTGAATATTCTGATTTCAATAAAATATACTAAAATAAATTTCATGTGTTACTTTTTGGTTTATTATATGGCTACTAAAATTTTAAAAATTGCACATTTGGCTTGCATTATATTTCTATTGAACAGCTCAAAAACATCAATAATAAATACTGAGTTGCTACTGAAAAATGGTCCATATGTTCTCTAAGAATAAATTAACAGTATAAAAACTGCCAACACAGTCAATTTATTTGATAAAGAAGAAATCATGATACGGGAAATCCAGAAATCAATTTAAAACATGCAGTTGGCTTTAAAACTGCATTCTCCAATACATTTAAAATTTTTAAAAATCAATTTTTATTCTCTGAACACATATGAACAGATAAGAGAAGAAGGTAACCCAGAAGCATGGAAGAAAAAAAAAAAAAAACTACAGCTTTTTCCTTATTTGATCCTTACACAAATATAAGCATATTAATTAAAAACAAATACTATCATATGATAGCATTAGATATCCTGCAGATAAAGACAAAGAAATATAAAAATTAGCAATTTAACATAAATACAACAAATCTATAATGTATACCTTTGCTCCATCTGAAATTTTGTCCCAGTTTTCACCACTCAAAGAGAACTTTCCATTACCTATACGCAGCAGTATCTCTTCAGGAGTATCATTAGGGCCATTAGCAAATGGAGTATAGCTATTAAAAATAAATAAATTTTAATGAATATGAGGGAATAACTTACATATTCAATCTAACTGAAAGTGATAAACATAGGACTACAGTTGACCCTTGAATAACATCAAAGAACTGCTCATGAAAAAATGATTAGTGTCACAGCGTGCTTTAAGTGGATACTTACAACACTTGAGCTCACCACAATAGTAACATGGGTCAACTGTATACTGTAATTGAATGTTTGACTGCATGGGATATCAGTCCCCCTAGCCCCCTGTATTGCTTAAGGGTTAATTATACATGTAAATAGTCACTATAGCAAAGTAAGAGTATCATATAATATTTCCAATCACTGTTCATATAAAATTTTATACTTCAAACAATGAACTCATTTAATAAAGCTAACATTTTGTCTACATCTGTACATCTATACTTTTTCTTTTTGCCGTTGATGAATTAATCAATGCAAAAGAAATTAAAGGTGACTTTTAAAATAAAGTAAGACCAGATCAGAATAAAACATGCAAATTTTGAAATTTTGTATTCATCCAAGTGTGAGCTAGAAAACCATATACACTCAGTACCTAGTACAAAGAAAATCTGTATATTCACAATATATTTATTGTATTGTATTTATTCAAATTTATTCATTAGCATTCTATGAATATTATAAGTGGAAATAATCTAAGAACTGTTATTGTTGTTAAGTGCTGTTGAGTTGATTCTGACCCATAATGATTATGTATAGGGTTTCCAAGGAGCAGCCGGTGGGTTTGAACCGCCAACCTTATAATTCAAACTGACCTCGTGGTCCAGCGCATTGTTCTGCAGCAGCACACCTTACAGGTAATGTCTGTTAAAAATGTGTGGGTTAAATAAACTGCTGTGACAATACAATTAAAAAAAAAAAAAAACTATAGCCATTAAAACAATTATGTAAAGCAATAATTATGGACGAGGGTCAAAAATACATTATATAAAGATATAACACTTAAAAAAAGAAATAAAGAATGACAAGATGTGAGAATTTTGGTATGATTTCAGTAGATGGAACTGAATTACTGTTCAAATTTGAGAACAGAAAGATTTAAGGTTAAAATATGAAATTTAATATGGTAATGTCTTAATTCTCTCATGTAAAAATTAAGCTGCAGTAACAATTACCTACAAATCTCTCATGTAACAATTAAGTTGCAATGACACATACACACAAACATTTTAGTTTTGTTTAATCCTATAGTACATATTTGAAAATAGCAAATTGGATATGTTATTCAATGTTTTAAAACCAATAATGCTGACTTTATTTGATATCTTTAGCTACCTTAACTTTAGCATATGTTGTAGTAACTATTTTATATATCTTTATATCTAAAAGTCCATAGAGTATGCTGATATACTTAACTATCACTAAACTAACAAATTATTTAGAGATACCATTTTATAACATATTGATAAAACTTCTGGTATACCACACATATTTTAATTATACTAAAACTGACAATGTGGGTTAATGCACTGGACTGCAAGGTCGATTTGAACCACAAGGTTGGCAGTTCAATTTCACCAGCCACTCCGTGGAAACCGTATAAGGGTCACTACGAGGTAGAACTGACTCTATGGCATGTAACAACAGCAAATGCACTCTATAGAACATCATACCTAAGAACATTATAATTCTACTAATTTTCTTCTTCATAAGAACATTATAATTCTACGAATTTTCTTCTTCACAGTTGTTAAATGCTGCTGAGTCAACTCTGACTCATAGGGTTCCCGAGACTTTAAATCTTTGTGGGGATAGAAAGTCTCATCTTTCTCCAGCAATGTTACACAATAGACTTTGCTAAATGTAGCCATTTAGCCCATCCAATACAGCTCTCTTAAAATAAATTCTACAGTCATAATTAATGACAAGTATCATTAGGGCCACAAGTAAATCAGTATAGCTAATAAAATACATACATTTTAATGGACATAAGGAGATAACATGCATATTAAAACTTTTAATAAGTAGCATTTTTAATTAGAAGTACAAGTAGTAAGTACTACTTCTAATTAAACGTGCTACTTACTTTTAACAGTAAAAACAGTACTTGTATTATTTGTAAATAATTGACATTAACATCATCCAATTATTCTTGCATTTTTTAATGTCATTATTATTTGAAGGGAAGTCATTCTGTGTGTTTTTGTTTAGTGTTAGGTTACAATCATACTAAATCTGTTGCCAGAAAGGATTCAAGTATGGTTTTATTGTTGGTCTTCAAATTAACTCAGTATCAACAAGTTTAATGGACATCTTCTTTTTGGAAGATACAATTAAATATACACATTTTCAATAAGTAATGCAATGAATTTAAAAAATGAAAATGTACACTAATTTTGAAAAAATTAAGCTGAAACTTACTTTTAATTAATATACCTAAGTTTAACAATGTCTCATTATAAACTATTAATTTATTTTTAAATTTGTAAGTAAAAAAAAAATGTTAACAGCACTTTCTGTAAGATTATTCTCATCTATCCTCTTCTAGACGGAGATATAAAGGTGAAATTTAAATAACAAAGTAAACACTTTTTAGTATCTAAGTTTCTTACCCAGCCAGCATTGTGTAAAAAAGGACTCCTAAACTCCAAATATCACAAGCAGCATCATATCCCTGTTGCATAAGAACCTGAAAAAGAAATACTCATTATGTGGTATGAGTCAGTATAAACAATATTTTCATCTAAATGTCTGTGATATAAAACCTTAAGATCCTTTTAATCTTTTAGAAAAAGGATTAACATAATGCTAACGACAAAGTCTCCTGGTATTGTTGTTGGTAAGTGCCATCCAGCCACTTCTGACTCACAGGGGATCCTAGTGTGGCTCTGTAGGATAAGCACTGGACTGCTATCCACAAGATCCATGGTTCAAATTCTTCATCCTCTTCTCATAAGAGGTGAAATAAGGCTTTAGTGTTTTCATTCAGAAAAACAAGCCCACTACTAAAGACTCTGAGCATAGGAACAAAGTAGAAACATTATAAATGCATTAACACTGAGGATTTATATAACCAACAGCAGGGTATTTTCATTTATAAAAAGATAAAAATATTAATATTAGGCCAGACATGAATAATGAGTACACTAACTTATGATTAAATATATATGCTTTTTCAAAGTTTATTTAAAAATAATATACATAATTCCTATTCACTGTTCATGGGTATGTAAAATGGTATATATAGTAACTGTGGAAAAGTAAGGTGTTACCTCAAAAAGGTAAACACAGAATTACCATATGACCCTGGCATCCTGATAGGGTTATACACTAAGTAACTGAAAGCAAGAATGCAGACAGATACATGGACACCCATGTTTACTGCAGCATTATTCCCAATAATCAAAAGGGGGAACTAATCCAAGTGTCCATCAACAGAAGAATGGACAAATAAAATGTAGTGCATCTATACAATGGGATATTATTCAGCAATAAAGAGAAATAAAGTGCTAATATAATCTAAGGCATCTATCAGAAAACCTGGTGAACATTACACTAAGTGAAATAAACCAGATACAAAAGGACAAGTATTGTGTAGTCCCATTTATATGAACTATCTAGAACAGACAAATACATAGAGATCACAGTTTATTAGCAATTATCAGGGGAAGATATGAGAGGGAAATGGGGAGATACTGCTGAAGGGATACTGACTTTCTGTAAAGGGTGATGAAAAACATTGGTAAATGGATAATGTTGATGGCAAACATAATTAATATCCATGTAAAAATGACTGAAATGGCAATTATTTTATGTATAAATCACAATTTAAAAACAACAATGACATACATATGCACAAAATTGAGAAGATGAAGATGCATATCTATATAACTAGCTTACATAAACACCGGTAGGCATTACACCCCATACCAACTCACTGCCAGTGAGTTGATTCCAACTCATAACTATCACATAGGATAGAAGAGAACTGTCCCATAGCATATGCAAAGCTGTAAATACTTATGAAAAAAGACTAACACATCTTTCTTCCACATAGTAAGTGGTGACTGTGAATTGACAAGCACTTAACTACTTGTGCCACCATGCTCCTTAGAGAATACAAACCACAAAAACAAACCCACTGCCATCAAGTCAATTCCAACTCATAGCAACTCTGTATAGAGTTTCTGAAGCAGTAAATCTTTGACAGTAGTTGTGTGTCACTCAGTTGGTTCTGACTTATGGTGACCCTGTATAGGGTTTCCAAGCAGAAGTCTTCATCTGTCTCCTACCAGCCTTCCAGTTAGTAGTCCAGTGCTTATTCTAAAGCACTACCAGGGCTCATTTAAGGAATACAAAGGACTCTTGGTATGGCACTGTAGGATAAGCACTGGGCTGCTAACCACAAGGTTGACAGTTCAAACCTACCAGTTGCTCATCGGAAACACTATACAGGGTCACTATGAGTGGAAGTGGCTCCATGACAGTTCTCAACAACAATAATGAGCTATAACTAAACGACTCACATCTTAGTAAACCTAAATTGGAAAACTTGGTAAAATGTAAACTCTCTGGGATTTTTGAATTTTCCCTTTCCTTTCCTCATCATATGTTACAGTCCAGGCATCACTGTATTGTCTCTGGTTCCCTTACATTGCAACACACAGTCATAGTTAAGAGTCACAAGTTAAGAACTAAGTGGACAAGTGAGAGCTAATCAGCAAGACCTCTACGGGTATTTCATACTCCCCTAACATTCTTCATATAGTTCATTAGAATGGCAAAGTTGAGCTGGAGGACTCACACTGCTTAATAAGGACCAATCATGAAAAATTTGTTTTAGATTTATCACATACGTAAACTCATTTGATGTAGGGGAAAAGGCAGTCAACTTTTGTTATAATGCTAGTATCAATATCCTATAATCATAAAAACATGAGGTAATAAAAATAAAAGGTGGTGAGATTACAGAGAGTATGCTTCAGACCTTACTTGTATCAAGGTAAACACAAAGGTGGTGGTGGTGGTAGTTATGTGCCTTGGAGTTGGTTCTGACTCATAGTGACCCCATACAGGGTTTTTTGTTTTCTTTTTAAGTTTTTTATTGTGGATTGAGTGAAAGTTTACAGGGCAGATCATCAGTTTTACATTCAACAAATCATACACCTTGTTTCATTACAATGATCATAATTCCTTCCATGTACCATCAGTTAACAGTATTTCTCTGTATCCACTTTAGCTTTTAAAACAGAAACAAACCAAACCAAACACTCAGGCATATATAATAATTTACATCTCCAAAGAGCATATTTTGCAAGTCTGCCTCCTGGCCACCAGTTCTTAGTCCCTTTCTTCCCATATATCTAGAGTCCTCAGCCACTCCCCCTCTTTCCATGACCCAATCTTTGTCTTCGTCTCTGGTGTCAGTGCTTCTCTGGATAAGGCCCTGCATTCTGCTTGTGCACTTCACCCTTGATGGTCCTCGGGTCCTCTGTTTCTGGACTGTAAGATTAACCACTCCCCTGTTTTTGTTACAAAACATCTACCTTTACAATTGTGACAGTGGCAATTAGTCATAATAACAATTATTCACTATTGAATCATATGAATCTTATCCTCATTTCTTTTCAACAGACCCATCTAGACAAGATTAAATCTATTCAGTGGGAACTCTTTCTTTCCCCCCATACTCTTAAACTAAACTCCTTCTTGAAATCTTGCAAGCCAGTCACTTGTGCCTTTATTGTCCCCTGATTTTAGTAGCCAATGTCTAAGTTGCCCGTCCCTATGTACAGAGATACTTGATGTGAAGACTCCTTCCCTCTTTGTTGGTATTTAGAGTTACTACCCCTCTGAGTATAAGTCAGGTTCATCAAATTGTAGCAATTCACCCTTGTTTCCTTTATAAAAAAAAAAATAAAAATAAAAAAAATATATATATATATATTTGTGTGTGTAATCTTACCCTAGTCAAGTATTGATTATCGAGCCATCAAGGCTAGGTCAAATGGGTACTGTCTGCAAGTTTGGGTGTTTTGCGTATCTCCCCTCACTTCATATCAGCTGGATGCTTCACTTTCAGCTCTAGTCCTCTGTGGCTATGTCCTTGTCCATGGGCTCAAGTGTCTTCAGGACACTTTGGACCAAACAGCCCTTCCTCATCTCTAGGTCAATAGGAGTCAATGGACTATGGTTGAACTCAGTCCATTTCTTCAATGCTTCCTGTCACTCTCTTTCACTCACTAGTAGACCAATGTGGTCGCCAGCAATCTTACATGCTTGTTTCTGTGTTCCCTTTGAGTTTCCGTCTATGAGGGTAATTTGTCCTGAAGGAACTTGATTGCTTGCCTTGATGACTTCCTGGTGAACAGCTTGCTTATTCTTGTAGTAGTTAGTCATGCTGCCATTTTTGTTTTGGATTTTTCCTTATGATGTTTCTTTGAAAATGTATCTTCTGTCACTGTAGCTGTTCCAGGCTGGTTTGCTTGTCCTTTCTAGTGGGAATGTCCCACCTCATAAGGTTCTGGATGGGACTCAGGATTCCACCTAAGGTCCTATATTCTATAAAGACTTTGCAAGAGGCCTATTTCACTGGGCAAGTTCTAGAACCCCTTTTAGGTATTCCAATCAGTTATAGTCTGAAAACAGGCTTACAAGTTTCCTCTAAGCAGTTTCCTTTCTATCCCACTCAAGTATCTATTTTCCAATAGTAGGCAATGGAAACTAACATTCATAAGACAGTCAAGCATTTTAATATTATTTCCCCTCTTCAAACTATACCTAGATCCCTGTATCCCAGAGGCCTGTTGCTCTAAGTTTGAGCATGCATCACTATTTACCTCTGTCTCACTTAGCACATGCAAACCTGTCTCAGTGTTCCCCTATCTATCTTGTTCTTCTGCCTCCTCCCCCTTCTTGTATTGCCCTCCCCAACACCTGAACTAAACCCCCCACCCCAACCCCATTGTTGTGGTTACCTTATATTCCCTCCATTTAAGACAGTCTATTTTATCCTGTAATCTATCTGATCTTCCCACCACCTGGATCTCTGTTCCTCTGTGTTTACCTTCTTTCATATTGTAATTGTTTTGATCATAGACTGACCTCCTAGATCCTCTGTTCTTATAATTTTATTCTGTTCTTGACTCTTCCATTTGAGTTCAGGGTGATGCTGCCATGTACATCATTTTTGGGTTGTTTTTTGTTCTTGTTGGTTCTCAGTCCACATAACGTCCTTTAGGATGTTTTTCATAGCAGGAGTAACTTTGGCAAAATACCTTAGCTTCTGTTTATCCTGGAATGTTTTGATTACACCATTGTATTAAATGGACAGCTTTGCTGGGTAGAGGATTCTTGGGTGGCAGTTTTTTTTTTTTTTGTTTTGTTTTGTTTTGTTTTTCTTTCATGGTTTTATATATGTCTCCCCATTTCCTTCTTGCCTGCATGGTTTCTGTTGAAAGATCCAAGCTTAATCTGATTTTCTTGCCTTTGTATATTGCAATTCTCTTTTCCCTAGCTGCTTTCAGAATTCTGCCCTTGTCATTGATTTTGGAGAACTTGATTATGATATGTCTTGGTGACTGTCTTTTAGGGTCTATCCTTCCTGGGGTTCGCTGAGCTTCTTGAATGCTTATCTTTTCACTTTTCAGAATGTTAGGAAATTTTTCTTCCAGAAGCTCTTCAACTATC